CCCCCGGCCCCCCTCCCCCTGCCGCCCTCCCGCTGCTGCCCGCCAGCCCATCCGGGCAGGACGAGCCCGCTGTGCCCCCAGCACTTCATTCGAGCTTCCGCACCTGCTGTTTCTTCACCTTAAAGCTTGGCCGGGGGTGACATCCACACTTAGGCCACCGTGGGGCCGTGCTGGCCCTTCGTCCTGGTCAGGCTGCGCCCGCGGGTCTGCTGCCCTCCCCAACTGCCGCCCGGCCTCAGAGGGCCCCCGGCGGCATGGCCTCAGGTCTTCACAGAAAACCTCCTGGACGGTCCTGACCACCCGTGGCCTTCCCCTTTGGTTCCAGTTCTGAGGCCACGGCCCTTTGTCCGACACCTGCAGGCAGAGGGGTTGGGCACAGGGCACTCAGGGCCTCGCCAGCTGAACCATGTGGGCCATTCGGTCCTTCTGCCTCCCTCGGGATGAGCGGGTGCAGGTCATCCTCGCTGGGGAGCCGTCGGAGGGATGTGCCAGACCGAGGGCAGCAGGTCCGCACACCCGGCGCCCAGAGGGAGGGGACCCGGAGACTGGAGAGTGTTGCTGGCATCTCCCTGCGGGGCCAGGGAGGCGAAATGTCCCGCTGTGTGTGTGTGTGTGTGTGTGTGTGTGTGTGTGTGTGTGTGTGTGTGTGTGTGCGCGCGCGTGGGAGGGGGGCAGCACCCACGGCATCTGCCCTTTTATTAGGAAACCAGACACAGGAAGGAACCGTCCCACCCCAAACGCCCTCTGCTGAGAGACACGGGCTATCCATGGGCCTGTTCAGTCAGTCAGAGGGAGGAGGGGCGGCGGCCCAGCCTCTCCAGAGCCCTTGGGTCCAGGGGCCGCCAAACACTTTCAAACAATGTGCCTTAAAGCTGCACCACGACCCCCAAGTGCAGCCTACAGAAGGGGTTTACCACCTGCAAACCCAGCGGGCATCTGGCAGCTTCCAAGGCTCACTAAGTCCACGATGGCACCAGTGAGCATGTGTCCCCGGTGGAGAGCCTGTGTCCCCGCGCGGGTGAGACTGCGTCCCCGGGGGCAGCACCCATCCCCTGCACTGAGTGGCAGCACAGGCTGGGAGGCTTTCCTGGGAAGGGGCTTCGTCTCACGTGTGAAGAGCTGTGGAGGTGATGACATCCTGACCCACAATTCTACTTCCAGGACGTCACACTAAGGAGCTAATCAGAGCCTTTGATAAGTGGTGCACACGGATGTTTACTGTGATACTGCTGCTAAGAAGGAACGCTTGGGAACGAAGCGTCCCCTGAAAGACGAACAGTTAAATGAATTAGAGCAGCTGTCCGTCCATGGTGACATCATGGTCTGGTGACCCAGCTGCCACGCCCAGTGCTGCTCTTCTCTAACATGACCAGGAAGGGAATTCTTGCTTTCCCGTCTCCTTGTGTGGCTGGCAGTGACTATAAAAGGCAGTTCTATCCAATGATGTGTAAGAAGTCAGCTGGGGAACCTCCAGGAAAGCTTTTGGATATCTAATAAAAGGGCAGATGCTACTCATGCTGTCCCTTCTCCCTTCTTTCCACATTGAGTACAGATGTGATGCCTGGAGCTGGGCAGCCATCTTGCAGCCATGTGTCATAAGCGTGAGGGAACCATCAAAAAAGTCCCCAGGCCCCTGCTGTGACACTGTGGACCTGCTGAA